TGGTTTGGCACCGGTATCGGATAAAACCTAAACGATACCCATCCCTACTCTAGACTTCAGCTGAGATCTTGGCTGCACCAAGAAACAAAAACAAAAGCATGGTAATGTTTACGCTGCGTAAAATGTTTTAATTTGTGACACAGCATAGGAAAAGTCAGATTGAAAATCCCAGCTGTGCACAAAAACAGCCAAGCAATGATACAATTCTGAACAGTTGGACTCTCCAATATTTCCAATATCATAACTTCACCGTCTCCAAATATCTCTTAGAACTGTCTGACAATTGATCAGTGTCTGATCCATAAACTGTCAATAAATCACTCGCCTTTTTTGCCCCAAATGCTCAATCAGCAAACACTCAGCTGTGAGTAATCTAGAAATTTTGAAGGAAAGATGAAGTTAAAAAAAGTTAACATTTTTTGCTATAGCTTGGTTTTCAAATGCCGTGTAACATTTTTGTACTTAGATCAAAGCAAAACTCAAAACTGTAAACAAGTAGAAGTTTGATATCATAACTTGATCTTTAGAAACGAGGCTGCCAGAAACCAGAGGCTGCCAAAAATACTGAGTATAAAATTTACTGGCCGTGATTGCTGTGTATGTATGTGTAGCCAGAGTCTTAATCATAAGCAGACACCTGTGAGTACATCATATGCATCATATGATTTAGGAGACTAAATGCTGTCTTTCTGTTGACCCAGACTTCATGCAGGCAGCGGGGGCCCAGGCCGAGCTGTTCTTCTGGCTCACAGTGGAGGGATACAGGGTGACGGCGCAGCAGCAGCTGGAGGCCATGCAGAGCTGGCAGAAGGACGGCAAGAAGCAGCCTAGTGACACTAAAGGGCTGCTGAAGGCAGCTGCACTGGGTGTCTATGAACAATACCTCTCTGACAAGGTAGCTGAAAATGTCATGCATCCACAGTCTCCTCGGATATTTTAAGCCAGACTCATTTCAGCTATATTTTACACAGTGTCTGAACTTCTCTTTTAGAAACAGGGACGTTTATTTATAGATGAATTTAACACTGGAAGTCCCAGGCTTTTCTAACCCCAAGTCAGCCAAGTGGAAGCTAAATTGGAGAGCTGTCTTTCATCTCTGTAGTTATAGATGTGAAAAGTTAACCTCTTTGCTCTGTCTGCTCTAACAGGCGTCCCCCAGGGTGCAGGTGGACGAGGCATCACTAACAAGGCTTGGGGAGAAGCTACGGAAAGACGACCCCACGCCAGAGATATTTGATGAAATCCAGAGAAAGGTACCCCCCCTCCCTTTCGGGTTTTTTTTTTCCTGCTTACGCTGCATTTTTCCCCCAGTCTAACAAAAACTACTGCTTGTACTTTACAACAGGTGTATGACATGATGCTACGCGATGAGCGGTATTACCCGTCCTTCAAGCAGAGCCCTCTCTATGTCCGCATGCTTGCAGAGCTGGACATGTTGAAAGAGCCAAGCTACCGAGGGTCTGACGATGGTGATGGAGAGTCCTTTAATGGTTCTCCAACAGGAAGCATAAACCTAGTGAGTCCTTTTCATTTAATATTTATGGGTTATCTGTCTGTGCTGTTTATTATTACTAGTTTATGATGATTTGTTTCCTGTGATTTCAGTCTTTGGATGACTTGCCCAATTCCTGCCATGATGAATCTATGCACCTTCATGCCTTCATCTCTGACACAGGTACGTCAACCGAGTGGTTTAGTTTTATATTCTTCTAACATGTTGAATTGTGTGTGTGTGATTTTTCTTTTGGATATTGGGTATCTGTTACTTCCTTTTAGTCCTTCCCGGCATGTTTTCTATCAGCATTTCACCTCTAAGCTCGTTTCATCTGCATGTGCCTGTTGTTTCGTGCCACATTGTTCCAGTATTCTTTATTTCTATCACTCCATTACCTTCACTATTTTTCTGTTTTTCCTTTTTCCCTCCTCCCTCCCTCTCTCACCTTTCCTGCTATTCTGTTACACTTTTCCTCCCTTTTATCCCATTCATACACACTTTTCCCCTCTGCTTGCTCTTTTATTGCCCTATATTACACCTGCAACACTTCCCTTTTGTCCACTTCCTGTCTTTTTGCTGCTCTTTTCAACCCATCCCCCATTTTCCAATTCCCTATTTTGGATGTATTACCGGATTGGGTAGCTGATGCTTGTCTCCCCGGCTTCTGGGGTGCTGCAGGGGTGTGCAATGACCACGGTAAGACCTACGCACTGTACACCATCACTGTGGTTAGACGCAACCAAGATGGCAGTGAGGATGCCTGGAAGACCTACCGCCGCTACTCAGACTTCCATGACTTCCATATGAGAATCACTGAACAGGTGTGTGTGGGACTTAACTCTATTACACCACTTTTACGCGATTTTAAGTAAAAAACAAAGGCCGGTGGTGCCTGGTGGCTGACTGACGTGACCGTATCGCCATATTGACGGCACAAGAGAAAAAAATGTTGGAGGCAAGTTTGTGAGCCTAAACGTCAGACTCACTGGAATTACTTATAGATACACTGACCTCATTATTTCTATCATAGAAACTTTGGCCTGGCATCTAACATTGTTACAATAAATGTAAACGTGACAGAAAATAAGGGAAAGTCATCAGCTGCATTTTCTTCTTCTGAGTCTCAGTTTGTAATCTTGCTCTGCTTTAGTTTGAGAACCTGGCATCAATCCTCAAGCTGCCAGGAAAGAAGACCTTCAATAACATGGACAGAGACTTCTTGGAGAAGAGAAAAAAAGACCTCAATGCTTACCTACAGGTAATGTTGTTATGTGATAGTTTATATATGTTATTCTTTTTTTATTGTCATGCATTTTTCCTTCCATTAATAGTTCTTGGTGCGCATTTGTTGCAGTTGCTGCTGAACCCAGAGATGGTGAAGGCCTGCCCAACTCTGATCCCTTACGTGTATGACTTCCTAGAGAACAAGGCCTATAGCAAGGGCAAAGGAGAGTTTGCACGGAAGGTATTTCCTTTTCTCAAATGCAAATACCTGTTTAACTGTTGTGCAGTTTTTTTTTGTTTTTTAATTACTACATATATTATAGTAGATATTATATGTAGATATTGTGTTAGAACGTTTTAGTATGTTGGAGAATCATTCATTACTGATCAGCTGTTTATTCATCATGTGACTGGCATTTTGTCTATAAAGTACATTTTCTGCTTTTGTTTTATTCCCCCATCAGATAGACACATTTGTGAACCCTCTGCGGAGCTCCATGAGAAACGTGTCCAATGCAGTAAAAGCCTTCCCAGACAGTTTAGCAGAGGGAGTGAACAAAGTCTCCGATAACATGGGCCGCATGTCAGAAAAACTGGGTCAGGATATCAAACAATCCATACTGAAGGTAGAACCGTTTAATACTGCAAGTGTTTTGAGTTAACGTTGTGAAGCATGGGCTTCGCTTGATCCTCTGTAGTTGTTAATCTAACCTCTGATTTTCCCAGGTGCCTCCAATCCTCCCCAAGTCTGAAATCGACCCTGAGCACTGTCGAGTCTCTGCTCAGCTCGATGACAATGTGAGCAAAGTCCTTCCAAAGTTTTCTTGAAATGCCTCAGAGTACAAACATTGGCTCATCAGTTAAATGTGATGAGAAACTGCTTAAAATGTTCCCACTAAAATGAGGATTTGAAAAGCTTTTATCCTTCTGCCATTATCTTTGCTGTTAGGAATAACCCTGTAGATTTTAATTCAGCATTCCTTGCGTTGACATGTCTCTGCAAAAGTCTCTGATGTGAGTCAGTGTGCTGCTGTTTCATTCCTTTAACTGTGCTTTAAATTAAACTGCTTCCAGGTGGATGATAATATCCCACTCCGGGTAATGCTGCTGCTGATGGACGAGGTGTTTGATCTCAAAGAGAAGAACCAGTGGCTGCGCAGGAATATTAAGAACCTTCTGCAGCAGCTCATCAGGGCCACATATGGGGACACAATCAACAGGTGAGTGTCACATTAAACCCGCAAAAAAGACTGACATGCAGTTAAAGGTGGGAAAATGTTATCACTTATACAAATAGTAGTTTGAAATATTTAAAGTTTGCTTCTTTCTGTAGGAAAATCGTAGATCATGTGGACTACCTGACGTCACCAGAACAGGTGGCAGATTACGTCAAGAGGTTCAGGTAAGTCATCGCCTTTTGTTTTAAAGACCTCTGATTAGTCAGAGGAGTACTGTATAACTTTTAGTGCTCCTCCTCCGAACAGGGATTCCTACTGGCCCAATGGTATTCTAGCTGAGACCCCGCCCCGCCGGGACAAGAACATCCGCATGAGGACACGAGTAGCTGCCAAAACCAGCCTTCTGGGAATCATGCCAGGTGAAAACACACACACACTCACACTTTATAAAGCTAGCACCTCGCCATAAATGGAGAGAGCCACATCTACTTACTCATTATCTTTGAAGCATTCATACTTAAAATGAAAAGCAGTTCTCAGTCCCTGCTCGTCCCACTGAATATGAAAGTAAAAGCTGTGAGGAGGGAGGAATCAATGACGTCTTTCTGGGTGTCACCAACAGCTTTTTAATAAAGGGGTTTCTCAGTCTCATATTAGGAATCCACTGCTCTTCTGTGTACTACCACTCCAAACTATGACAAACAATTTTGATGTAAGACGATATCTTGTATGTGTGAAGAAACGATTGAAGTACGGCACAATAGTATTCTAGTTTAGGAGTGTGAGAATCTGGAGTAAGTTAGTGAGAACCACCCAGAGACTGACCTCTGTGTGATTTGTCCAAGTCTGCTTTTAAGAAATGACTGAAATGAACTCATTGCCCCCCTCTTGTGTCCAGGCGGTATAAATGCTGTTTAACCATCATTTGTTCAATAAGCTAATTATGAGTCAGCGCACTAGAATGAGGCAGAGAAA